GAGGGAACATAGAACCTGAAACCCAGCTGTTCTTTGTAGTTTATTCCTTTATTGAACAGATAGCTCGTGGATGTCATGTCAGTGGGATCCTTGACTAAGCACATGCCAGAGTAAGAAGAACAAGGTGTTGACTGGTGGGACTGGATTTGCAAGGTAAAAGGAGATGAAAGGAGGGGACAAAAGTGGGCATCCCCTGGACTCCCTCAGGGGTGGGAGGCAGGTCAGCATCTGTGACAGGAGGGGAGGGGGAACTGCCAGGTGAGACAGGCCTTACTCTCTGTGCAGCTGTGACAAGTCCTGGCCACAGTCCAGCAGGAAGGTCCACCCAGGAAGGGAGAGTCCTTTCACCAGCTCGTGCTGCTGCCGTCTGCCTGGCCTGCCAAGTGGGTGGACTTGCATGAAGGTCATGGGCAAGTGGCAGGGCGGTCACAGGTGTAGAGGACTCTTTTTTTTCTTGTAACTGGAGTTTTAAATTTCTGTTCCTGAACCTCCCCCTCTGGGTTCTCAGTTCTTGGCTGTTGATGGAGCCCCACTCAAGGCTGTTGATAAGCTTCCAGACTTGATGTGTCTGTTAATGCAAATCTCAGGAAAAGTTCAGATAGGTGGTTTTTTCCTTTTGTGCTCCTAGACTTTAATAGTTTAGACGGCTCAGAATCACACAAGCTCATGGTTATGTCTTTTTTTTTTTTGGTGGGGTGGTGATGTAGTGATGGTCAAGTTGGAAGATATTTCTGCACTTAATGGGTTTTTGCCTTGTCAAGGGAGACAGTAAATACACAAACACCAGAACAGAGTAATTTCAGATAATGGGAGATGTCGTTAAACAAGTGGATGTGACTGAGGGCAAAGCATTTTTTGACACTCCAGAGCTAAAGCTAGCACTCTGAATTTTTCCTGCAGAAATAAATGAATGCCTCCAATCAAGAGGAGGACATGTTGGTGAACAAACTAATAATACTTAGGGCAGAATGTGTGTAATTGCTGATGGCATGCAGAATTAATGTGATTTTAAAGCAAAAATTATTCAAATTGACAGGGAGGTTTGAAATCCAGCACTTATTCTTACTTGCTAGAAAAGAATTCATTTAGCACTTGCTTTCCACCTACCTGAAAAGAGGGATATCACTGGGAACAGAGTATGCAGAACAACGGGGATTAACATCCCTTTTCTGTGAAGGCAAGATAGTACATATTTTCAACTTTCCTGGCCAGGAGGTCTCCATGATCACACCTCAGTTCTGTGTCAGAACAGGAAATTAGCCACAGGGAGCATGTGGACAGACAGACACGGTTGTGTCCCAGTCAGTTTTAAGAACATTAAAATAGGAATTTCTCAGAATTGTCATGTATCATAAAATATTAATGCTGGATTTTGTTCCCACCATTAAAAACATAAAAATCATTCTTAGAGTCATACGCTGTGATGAAAGAGCTGGTGGGTTGGGCTTGGCTGGCCCTAGAGTAGAACTTTTAGGAATGTGGGGGAAAATAAACAGTTTTCATTAGTGGGATAGAGGTAGCAATCATTTGTGAAGAGTTAACATTTTCGAATTTAGCTTATCATACATCTCAGGGCCCACAGGTTTAGGAATGAGTGATCTTTAAGGTTAGTGACTCCAAATATAGCTCAGCTGAATCATCTGTTTTTCTTTTTGTACTTGATAAAGAATAGCAGTAACAAGTATTCTAAAACCATAAGGCTAATACAGTATCAATTTGTAATTCTACGGTTTCTATTATTAGCAAATAAGAAGTGTCAAGAAATGGAGCTTTAACTATGTATATAATGCTTTCAGCCTTCAGTATTGTCTGGGATTTTTTTCTGTATGAATATAAAGAATTTCCTCTCCCCAACCTGAAGTGCCCCCTAATTCGTCACAGTATCCTAGTTAATGGATAACATTAACCAATCACATAGTACCAGATCAACCTAAATCTCATCGTTAGCTTTTGCAAAATGAATAATTTTGTTGTGTATATTTTCAATCATATAATATGGACCATGTAATAGATTTTGTGTGGTTTTGTCTTCAGGAAATAGTTCCAGAAGGCGAATTAATGGATATTCGTACATTCGCCCTCTGTAGTGAATGTACAGATAGCAAAATACACATAGCTGTTTTTTTCCTTCCCAGTATATAATGTGTTATCACATTTTCTCCCACTCTGGTAACTGATTTATGGTATCTTGCTTCAGTTTTGATTTACATTTCTGTCATGATTGAGATTTTGTATCTCTCTAAATGATTATGAATCATTAGTATTTACTTTTGTAAAACTGTTGATAGTCTTCACTAGGTTTTCTATTGGACATGCCCTTTTAAAGAGCTCTTTATATTTAGGAAATGAATTATTTGCCTTTGATAGTAAATATTTGCTGTTTAAACTTGCTTAATGGTTTGAAAAAATCAGTTTTAAAAATGCATTAAATTTTAAAATGTAGTCCCATTTGTTCCTTAGTTCTGAAAAACCTTAGGTTATTATGACTTCTGAATCCAGTTGCCTTTCATTTTCTTTTTTTCCCTTCTCAGTCAGCCCTTGTTTTTATATGAGCTTTTCCCTGTCCTCTCTTCTCAGGACACCTGTCACTGGGGGGAGAGCCCACAGTAACCAGAAGGCCTCCCCAAACCCTTATTATATCACAGATACTTACTATTTAAGGTTGCATTCCTGGGTTAGGGGTAGACATATTTTTGAAAACCAACATTCAGTCCACTACAGTAATACTATTTGAATGTTTATTTGATTTTCTTTTCCTCCAGTGTTACCTTGAAGAATTATATTCTTAATGTTTGAGCTGACTATTTAATGCTGTTGAAATGTATTTTCAATGAGAAAATTATTCTGTGCCTTCTGCCATATAGGATGTGGATGGTGTTAACAGCAGTCCATTCTGGGACTTTCCATAGCAACTGAGAACTTGTAATACTTAATTTTTATTTCTGCTCCATCAACTTTTGATTTTAAAAGAAAAAAAATGTCTGTATTAGATCTTACTTGCTTTTTCATGTTTCAGCCAGCGTAAGTGATACACTGAACTAAGTTGGTACTATTAAATGATAGCAATGGACATCAAACTCTTGAAATGGTGTTTAAATTCAAGAGGCGTGAGCTCAGAATAGCATTGCTAAGCATTGTTTATAGATCATGCGGTGGTGGCTTCGTTCATATAGAAAAGAAATGGGTATGTAAAGGCTTGATAACTTTGGTCAAGTTTTATATTTTTCATTTAGTTACCTCCTCAAAGTTTGAAATTTCAAAGATGTCAGCAAAAATATTGATTATGAATGGGTTTTAGGTTTATAATGATTCATGATATTATGCATTTCCTAGGTTCCCCAGGGCCCCCATTTCAAAATGTGGCATAAAAGCTGTCTGCAGAGTAGATTTATCGCAGCACTGCTGTTTTCTTGCACACACTCCTTAAACACGGCGAGTCATGTGTAGACGGAATATATTAACATCAAGTTGTAAACTATATTTTTAAGGTTGCAGTTATAACTTTTTAAGTGTGATGAAATGTCTTCTTTTTACTCTCCTCAATAAAGTCTATCATTTATTGTACTAAAACCTTTATAACGGAGCAAATGACGGTCCTTTGCTGAAGCAATACTGAGCCACAGTGAGTGTGATTTAGTCCCCACCTCGGCAGTTTTTCACTAGCGACTTCCTTATTTGGATTTCATTCTTCATTTGGAAATGGGATACTAATGTCACAGAGCTTGGTTGGTTGTGTAGTTTTGCTTTAGTGGTTATAAATTCTTAGTCACTATGGAGCATGCCAGCATTGCTCATTAAAATGTGAGAGATTATAGAAAATTAAAAGAAGTTGAGGCCTCTTGGTGATGAGGCTGGTTGAATCTTTTCCTTTGGAAACAGATGAAATTCAAGCCCACCTAGAGAAGTGTGGTGATTGTCTCAAAGTAGATCTTTTGTTACAGTAGGTCACCTAGTCCGTTTATCTTGTTACTACTTTTAACCCTGCTGTTCAGTCAACATTTTCTGTCTTCCATACCTTGATATCTTTGTTCCACCTAAATAAAGGAAACTTAGCCTTTTTTACCTTTTATATGGGCATTCTTTCTTGGCGCTCTGGCTACAAAAGAAAAGTGATTGAAAAGCTAAGAGAAGAAGCAAGGTCTGACCTTAGGCAAATGGGGTGTATTGACTGTTCTTTGAATTCAGCTTACTTCAGGCCATTTTTAAAGCATATTCTCCTAACATATGCGATAAAAATTTTCTAAAGTGACCTGTGTGTATGTGTGCATAAAATTTATTTTCATATGTGTAGATACTTACTAGATCAGTATATTGTCATATTATAAAGAATATTCAGCATGATTTTAGTGATGTTTAGAAAATACTGTCATTTGCTTAAGGTCAGTGTCTTATAGAGCACTTACTGTGCATTTTTTTTTTTTAGTTCCATCTTTTGAACAGCTGTTCAACTTAATGTAAATTAATCAATTAGATAAATATACATGGCATTCTTTATTCTTTTGCATTATTGAATGACATTTGCAAGCAACACACATATTTTAATGTCCATTGAAGAATGAGGGCCCCACAAAAGCCTCATGATCACTGGTAGTTGTATTTCCTTTAACTTTTAATTGAAATGAGTTTCAGGTCAGCATTGTTGTACATCGTCTACGTACACAACAGTCAGTTCACTCAAGTCTAGTTCTCTCCCCCTTTTTGGTTTTTTTTCTCCCTCTTTGACCCTTTTTGCTTATACTGAACTTTGAGCAATTTTGTGTTGACTTACCCTTTTTATTTAAAATTTTTTGGTTAAATGAGACAGGATTGACTTAAGATGTGACGTGATAATGTGGTTTCTCAAAGTAAGAACAGGGCTCTGTTTTTGGTCAGGCATCACAAACACACTTTGGGTAGTGACTGAAAATTCCTCACAGGTTTCAACATAATAAGCTAAATTACTTCGATTTTGATGGTGTATACATACTGGGAAACTTATGTTTCTTTTCCTGTCATTTTAGGATTCTGAGTAACAATAAAATATCCGAGTTGAAGAATGGCTCGTTTTCTGGGTTAAGTCTCCTTGAAAGATTGTGAGTATCCTTTTATTATTATCTCTTATTGCTATTTTATTTAATGCTTTTTTTTTTTTTTATAAACTCTTAGCTTCCAAGTAAATACAGTTTTCCTAACATCTTATTACGGACCATTTCAAAGAATTGAATTTTGGAAACAATTGTTTAAAGCAGAGTTGGACAAGCTCTCTGTAATGGGTGAGATTGTACATAATTTAGGTTTTGTGGGGGCTCTGTCCTCTGTCCCGTGTGACTGAGTTCCACCATAGTCGTGCGACACTGTTATGGGGGTGCCTATTTACAAAGCAGACTTAGGTCATATTTGCAGCCACTGACATTGCAGGCCCTGATTCCTTTTTGAAGTTCTGCCTTGAAATGTGTCTGCCTTACATGACAGGCAAGTAGCGTAAAGAACACGTCCAGGGGGAACACTCCCAGGTAGACTCTGGTGTCTTACTCAGGTGTCTTCCCCATGATTGCTCTGTTTGGCTTTATGATTAGATGTGTAACCACTAGCACTCGTTTTTGGCTTTGGTGATGGGTAGACAGTGGCATTTTAACTTACTTGTCTTCTCATTACTCTTTGAGGATCTTGTTTCAAATTCCAAGTCACTCATGCATTTAGGGGGACGTTTCATAGGTCACAAGAAAAACATCCCCACTCGTGTTGAAATCAGACTCGCATTGTTTTCTCTACGGTGCTTCTCTTCCTCTCCCAGCGTCAGTGGCCACTCATTGGCCTTGACCTCTGGTGGCCTCTCCCTCAGGGCTCTGCCTTTGGGCCCCACTGAGTTGCTGACACACCTGCCCTCAGCATTCTTCGTCCTTATGTATGTGTCTCTCTGCTTAGCTACAATAATGCAGTCATATTTCCACATCTACACATGCTCATGAATACACACATGTACATTCACGACCATGTAAAATGGTCTTGGCTTATCAGATCTCCTTTCCCTTTTCACGTTTCCCTTTTTTCTGTTTTCTCAGAAGTTTCACTGTCTTGTTCTCACCATCCTCTTGCTTCCGAGGAGGCTGACTGTCCCTTCTCACCCAACCCAACCCATTTAAGGACAGGCCTTCACACACATTCCATGGTTCCTGATTCAAGAATGAGCATTTGACCTTTCTTAATTGAGTCCAGATTTGCTTGGGGCTTCTGGGAAAGGCATTTCCTTACTGTCATCAGAAACGAGAGCTGTACTTCTGGACTGCTGCCTGCAGGAAACCACACAGGGAGGGGTGGGGCCGGGCCTCAGAGAAGCCGTGGGCCTCTGGGCTGTGGTTGTGGGGGGCTGCACCTCCCTTTCGGTTTTCTTTCCCCTGCCAAGAAGAATCACTGTGGTTGACAGGTCTCCTGAGCTGTCGCACAGTCAGATGTTGAGTAGTTGTGTGGGGAGTGATGAAGGAGTCAGTGTTCCTTCCTTCCAAAGGAAGGGTGACTGCACTCTGAGGTATAAATGGTGCCTGTTGTGTTTGAAACAGGTTTTATTTTTGGCACCTGGGATTGCTGTGGTTGCTCACGCACATCAGAGCGCGTGGACAGCATCGCTGATGTGCTGTGCAGTGAATGAGTCCCCTCTGATATTTACTTTTTAATTGTCTTTGTCTTTGACCTTATTTTCTGCTATTTGTTGGCAATAAATCTCTGTTCATATTAGGCGTATACTAGGTTGCCTTGACCCTATTAGCTGGTATGAATATAGAACTGATTTTAGCCAGGGGCCCATTTGTACCTGAACGCCAGACACCACCACTCTCTTGGAGAACAGTGTGTGATCTGTTTGTGTACTGGACACACACACAAACATGTATGTGCAAACCACACAGACCGGGGACTAAAAGACTAGCTAATAGTAGGTGCTCAGGGTAGACTGTGAAGAGGTGAGTTGCTTGAGGAATTTGCAGGGACACTACTAGTGGTGAGTGGGGTTGGAGCGATGCTCATTGTGGCTGGGTCAGAAGGAATTTGGGAGCCCTCTTGGGTGTCAGGTAACTGAAACTCATCTTCGTGTATCACAGCCAGTGCCCTTGCTTGTTCTCATCCAACCTGGAGTGCAGCAGAATCACGGGGCTGGAGGCAGAACAGAGCAGAGAATCTGATACTGTGTTGAACTTGGGGTGTGTGGATGTCTGAGGTTTGGAGGCTTCCCGATTGTAGGTGTCGGATTGGGCAGTTCGGCGTACCTGGAACTCAGTGGCATGGTCAGTTTGGGTCAGAGACACACCTGTGTGCCCAAGTGCCCACCTTAAAACTGTGGGTGGTAATGAGTTACTGCCCAAGTGCCCACCTTAAAACTGTGGGTGGTAATGAGTTACCAGGAGACGGCAGTTAGGGCAGAGGAAGAGGTGAGTGAGAGTGAAGCTTCATTCACTTGAGGATTCATCCACGTAGCCTGTGGTTTTTAGAATTGCTGTGTTAGGCGGTGTTCAAGAAAGAAAAATCTTACAGGCCAGCAAGAGAGGAAATGGGCAATAAGCCAAGTAATTAAGGAAGTGTACAGAAGATGCCAGGCTGGGATATGTCCCATGGAGCAGAACAAACAGGACTGGGAGTGTGGACTCTGTGTGGGCTGCGGGGTGCTCAGTTTTGGGGTGTGTCGGGGAACCCTTCCCAAGGAGAATGGAACTAGTTGAGCAGGGAGATGAGCAGATGTCTGTAGGGAGAGTCTATGCTCTGAGCTGTCCCTGAACAAGGACATTTCCTGTTTTCTAGGAAATGGGTGTGTTGGGCCCTGGATACCAGGGGCTGTTGAGGTCAAGCTGGTAAACTTGCTCTGGGTTGAGTTTGCAAGATGTATCATCATTAAAGGGAATTCTCTAAAATTTATATTTGCTATAAATTTTGCTTTCCTTTCCTGGGCCAGTGTGGTTTGTAGTTTTTAGAGTTACAAAGGGTCTTGGAATCAAGTTCTTCATATCTGTCGTTCATCTTTCCATCCACTGAACTATCTACCCATCCTCTGTTCCTTCCTCTCTTCTTCTGTGCCCCCTCTTCAATTTGAGTCTTCACTCTTATGTTATGTGTCAGTCAGTATTCAATGACACCCTCAGTCCATTCTTTTCCGGTGTGGGATCAGCCGTGCGTCCTCCACCCTAGTGGTGAGTCAAGCTTGCAACAGCCATCGGGGCCAGTGCCTGTCACTCAGCAAGGGCCATTTGCTGTGGCCTTCGAGAAAGGTTTCCTGGCTCTTAGGAGATACAGGGGACATCTTCTTTCCCTATCTTATGCTTGGAGGTGACTTATTGACCTGGATTGTCACCTCATGACTGAGGATCAACAGGAACGCAGAGTTGGCCTTCTGAAAGGGTGTGTCTGAAGAATGGACAGAAGTACCCTCTTAAGCTTTCTACTTCTGTGTTTCCTGTAGTGCCTGAGATTTATTTATTTATTTTTTTATCGTTGAAGCAGCTTTGAGTAAAGGTTTCAGATACTTGCAGTTCAAATGAAGTTTATCTTATATACTTTGTGTTCTTTCCTAAAGTAGGAACTGTTAAAATATTCCTTTAATTTTGTTTAAGCAAGTCCTGTGTGCCTTTTCATTTACGTTTTAACGATCTAGCATATTCAGATGTAACTATTCATCCTGAAGTTAGACTCATGTTCGCTAAGGAAGCTGTGGCTTGCCTAGGGAAGGGGGATGCTAAATGAGAGTATCTGACCATAAATATCTTTCGGCAGTACCTGATTAATATGGCTATTATTAAATATTATACAATATGTCAAGAATTTTTTATTATTAAAGAAAAAGTGTATCTTTAAATCATATTACAGTACTCAGTTATTCATGAGAAGTGTTTTGTAGAAACACATGCCGTATATCATCGTCCACAAATTTATGAACTACTATAGGTAAATCAGTTCTGTTGTAGATGCTGTTTAAAATCTGAAAAGGGAAACATATGTTTTTAAAAAATGGAACTGACATTATATATATTTCTATTTGCAGAGCTTTTTAGCTTATGCAATACAAGTCAAAAAATGCACAGATAGAATTTTTTCCTAACATCCTCTTTTCTCTTTGAGCTGTAAGATTGGGGTCCAGTTGGGGAGAAGCTAGGAATGAGCATGTTGGGCCTGATGATTAATTGTATGTCATGAGATTTAAAAACAGGGGACAGAAGGCGGATTTTCAAGCTTTCAGAAAAAAAATGAACACACTCTACTAACCTCCCATATCACCAACTCTCCCACATTCAATAATCATTAACAATTTGGTGGCCGTTTTTTTTTTTATACTTGAATTATGCCAGCACAGTCACACATTTACTGACCTACTTGAAGGTCAACTGCAAACACGAGAACCTTCTTTCTTTGCTGGGGATGCGAGTGGCCCTGAATGAGAGAAGGCAGACTCCATGTGCTGATTTCCAACAGCCTAACGGTCGTGGTTAATCATAATTTACTGAAAGATGTTTACTGTAAAGGTCAGGTATGTAATTCTGTTTCTCAGCCTTGGTTTACTTTTTCACTGCTGCTATGACAAAATACCATCAATGGGTAGTTTCTTGATGGTACTGGAGGCTGGGAAGGTGCTGGAAGGTTCTGTGTCCGGGTCGGGGCCGCCGCCTCATGTGTGTCATTTCGTGTGTCCTTAAGTCACAGAAGGGGAGGGGTCTCTTATAAAGATAGCAGTCTCATTCATTAGGATTCTGTCTGCATGGCCTGTTCACCCAAAAGCTCTCTTCCTCTTTCCATCACCTTAGGAGTTAGTTTCAGCATAAGAATTTTAGGGTACAAGTCACAGAAACGCCACCCGCTGCATATTGAGTGACTGACTCTTCCAGCTCCCTGGTGTCTCAGGGAGGTTGGGGAAGGAGTGAGAATGTGTGAGGGGGGCAGCAGGAGGAAAAGGAAAGGGCGCTGGGCTCAGAGGTGACATTCTGGAGGGGAAGAAGGAATGGAGTTTCCTGCAGGGTAGGAGGGTGATGGGGAGTCAGCCTGGCAGGCGAAGTGGGTGGGGGGTGAGGATATGGGGCCAGGACTTGGGACCATGTGCAGGATCTGGAGGTGCGCAAAGTAGGACCCTTCTTAGAAGCATCTCAGGCATGACTCGTAGATATGAGGCCACACTGGGGGAGTATGGAAGAAGGTGAACTAGAAGGGAGCAAGAAGGGAGTTCGAACAGACAGGGTGAGGACCGCCTCACTCCAGAGGGTTTGCACTTTCTTCCCAGACACAGCTCAGACTCCAGTGCTTTGGTGGTGGCTGCACTAGGATGACTGAATACAAAGGGGGAGGCCTGCTACCTCCAAACATACTAATAGTGATGTGGACCAGTGAACCAATGACACTTCAATAAAAAATAAGTACAGCCAGTTCAGAAACCTGACGAGCTTTATGGTTAAAAAGATTTAATTGCGTTATTTTTCTTTCTCACCACATGCAAATTTTGACCTATGGAGACATTTTTTTTTTCTTTAAATTGAAGTGACATTGTTTCAGAGTATTCCAGAGGTCTCAGGTGCGCAGTATGATTTAACTTACCCCATATTATGTTCACCGCTCACGTCTCGTTCTAGCCCACAGGGCTCCTTTTCCTCAGTTTACCCACTTCCCATCTCCCTTCCCATCTCCCTTCCTTCCGCCATCACTGTGATGCTCGAAGTGCCTGCTTTTGTTTTGTTAATTCCTTTGGTTTAGAAAGATTACTCTGAGCAGAGAGTGACGTGCACACAAGTCACAGCTCTGCTGTACGTGTAACCTGGGCCAGGAGAGGCTCGTGATGGCGCAGGGCGTTGACACGGCTTGGGAAGCTGGACAGTCCATGCTTAATCACCTTTTCGACTTCTCACTCTACAGGTTTTCAAATAGTACAGAGAAGTTGAAAGAACATTATCTCGAGCACTTTGATCTAACCGTGGCCAGATTGGCTTTCTGTCTCCCTCTGGTGTAGGTGTCCATTTACTCCGCTCCTGTCGTAAATCTTTAGGGCGCTGGACTGGAATCTGGCTGGCCACTTATTAACACACCAAGAACTTGCCCAGGTTTCTTAATCTTCCTGTATATGAGTTTCGTCTTCTGAAACAATACTAATGCCTCCTAGGCTTGGTTGTGAGATCGTAATGAATGCTAAGTACCGCTTAGGGATTTGTGTTAACCTAGGAGGCCACAAATTAAAATAGGACTTCAGGCTCGTCTGGATCCAGGGGTCAGCCTTAACTTCCTGTGTCTGTTGACTTCATCACCTGGACTCTTCTCTCATTCAAGGAGGCCTGTCACTATCAGCTCCTGATTATCTCTTAATGTGGGTGCACCCTGCCCCTCTCCCTGCCCGTCCCCCAGGTCCTGGGGGGACTCAGGCGATCATGTCATTTACTAAGCTGAGGGCATTTGAAACTATGAATGAGGATTGATCAACAGCCGGTGGGTGGAGAGTGGTATTGGGAATTCTTGAACATTCTATGGCTGTGGACTTTTTACCTCAACACAAGGAGAAGGATGCAGAAAACAGCCAACAACCAAAACTACATAGGACAGTGATCAAAGGTGAAATAATTGATGGTCAACTGTAGCTTTTGTTATTGTGAAAATTCGGAAGCTTTTATAGTTGCTATTCTGGCCCAACTTTACATACTCTTTTGAATTTTTGAACGACTGTTTCCCGCTATTTGCTGTCAAAAAGTAGTGGCTGGGGTGGAGGCTACTTCAGTCTCTGCAGTGTACATGTATACTTGGCCCGTGTCTGAGGGGCTCACATCATTAGTATCACAAGCTGGGTTTCCCCAGAAACAGCTCCTGAGATGAGCTTGTGAGGTCACGTGGCTCCTTTGGGAATAGTCTGGTTTGGGTTTTGGGATTGAGCGGGAAGGGAAAGGAGCTGCTCTGTGGTGCTGACAGAGGAAAAGGGCCCAAGGCATGTTCCATCCCGGACTTTCCTTTGAGTGGTTTGTCTGTCTGGCACAGGCTGGCCGTCCATGGCGAGTACAGTCACAGTAGGCCCCAGGGTCTTGTCACCTGGTGCTGTGATAGCAGGTGGCGGGTGGTCCGGGCCAAAGAGCCCGTCCCTATCTGCTGCCCGGTGCTGCTTTTGCACATTGATCTGGTTACTGCTCTGTGACCACCACTCTGTGTGGCTCTGAGCCCGTGCAATTACGAGAAGTGGAGTGTGAAGCTGGCGTGTGGAAAGGGCTGTTATTAGGTAAAGAAGGAAGATGGGGAGGAGAAAAGTCTTGGCGGAGTTTCTGTGCACGCCCTGACCTCAGGCACCCCAAGAAATGACCAGAGGCCCTTGGGGCCTCTGTGGGAAGGTTATGTATGATGAACCTGGGAAGGCTCCCTCCCGCCCCCCCACCTTACACACATACCTCCTTAGTGTCTGGCCGTGGTTCAGCTACTGACCGGGACGAGGTGGAGGCACAAAGAGGAACCTGGACTGCCATTCTGCCTCCTGGGGCTCCAGTCGTCGACCGTCACGTCAGCGGTGACTTGAGAATCCCCACCTGAGCCCGGCGCCCAGAAGCCAGCAGCAGCCTGCACAGGCAGCCCGGCTGCCCCGTGGTGGAGGGCTGTGGTTGTGACGCCAGTACTGCTCTGCACTGGCCCTCTCAGACACAGGGCTCACACAGGAGAGGGGGAGTCAGCTGTGCCCACTCTCAGATGCCATCCTGCGGGGGAAGACATAGCCTTAGAAGCCCAGGAAAGCTACAAATTCTCAAATGACGTGAATTTTAGAGTATATTTTTGAAGAGAGTTTACGAAAAATGAATTTAGTTATGTAAGTGTCCTTCATTTTGATTGCTAAGATACAGCAGACATTATACAAATAACATGCAGGACTCGAGCTTAGAGACAACTTAGGGCTTCTCTGCCTGGATATGTGCATCTTATTTGGACATAGGCCTTTGTTTTTTTTTGTTTTTTTTTTTAATGTTTATTTATTTATGCATACAGAACCAGAGTACAGGCCAGAGGTGCAGGGACTGTGAGAGGCTTCACCAGAGACAGAGTGGGGAGCAGAACAGGCAGATCGACGAAGTACACTGCTGAGGGGAGCAGCGGGCGGGTCAGGAGAGGTCTGCCGCGCCATGTGGCCACCTCCGGGGCAGGCGGGAATCGAACTATGCGGAACTGGATTTAGCTTCTTAGTGCTGTGCTTTAACCCGCTGCACCACCAGGGAGGGCCAATAGGCCTTTGTTCTTATATTGACCAAACCGCTGGCTCTGGAGCCATATTTCTCAAACCTGAATTTTGCCTCTGCTGCTCACTGCTGGGGTGAACTGCCTTAAACTTCCATTATTGCCCTTACTGTTTCCTGCTAGCAGGAAAGGATAATGAGCCAAAATACTTGTTACAGCATCAATGGGCTTAAATATTTGCCAGCGTTAATTCTTTTCTCTTTAACAGGGACCTCCGAAACAACCTTATTAGTAGCATCGATCCAGGTGCCTTTTGGGGACTGTCGTCACTAAAAAGATTGTAAGTGTGTTGACATTGCTTGCTTATAATTTGAACTCTTCTTTTCTAAATCATTATTAACCCACTTTAAACTTGAACACAGCAAAAGATAGGATTTTTTCACAATTTTCAGAAGTCCTCTTGCTCCTCATTCCCAAGATAGAAAACCAGCAGCAAATGTAACTGGCGCGGAAGCATTCACCTGGAGAGTAAGATGCCTTGGCGGTCGCTGGCTGTGTCCCTCTTGCACTAAGCCAGTCATTCCTGATTATCAGTTATTATCTCAAGGTGATTTTCATGTCAGGGGCACACTCAGGTTGGCGGTTATAACTGCCATGTAAACCCAGGGGCCTCGCTCCTCAGGACTTAAAAGCCGTGTCGCTTTTGTGTGGAACTTAGCCAGGTATTGCATTTCTGTTACTCTGGAGCTAAGCAACTCTGCTCTCCCTATGCTGACTCTGGGTGTGAGCACCCTCCTGTTTGAGGGATCCCCCTACCCTCAACCCAGTGGACTGTCTCTCAGTCTTTCCTTCTGAAGCCATCTACTGTGTGCTGAGTGTTCACCCTCCGGGACTTCTCTGGAAAGGCCCAGACACTCAGTTAGAGGCAAATGGTGGAAGTCACCCTATAGTTAGTGAACACAGCACAGAGAGCATTTTAAGCAGGGTGGATCTAGGGGAGGAAGAATGTTTATGTCTTGGATGTAAAATGGGAAAGAGAAGAAATGATGGGAGGAGTAAGACATCTACGCTATTGGTGACTGATTAAAAAGGATTTTGAACTCATTCATCAGAACATAGGAGGGGGCTGAGCCATCTTTGTTTTTAACCATTCCTCCTGGAGATTTGCATGCTAAAGTCTGAGAACATTTGGATTATTTTTACAACTCCATCCGTTTTCTCCCATTATTGAGTAAGTCTCATGGAAAAGACCACTTTGTCAGTCTCTTTTTTCTCTTTATTCACAGCTTTCTGGTAACAGAATAGTAGTGTTAGTAAAGCCTCTGTGAGATGAGGTTGCAGGGAACTGCACTGTTAATTAAAAGCAGTTTAATCTGGAGGTTTGAAGGATACTGCAGATTATCCCAGGTTCTCCAACCAGTTCTCCACCCTTCAGCAAATAATTTCTCAAGTACTGTCATTGACATAAATTTAAAAGAATTTCTTACTCATTTAATTTAATTACTAATACTGTGCCAGGCGTTGCTTTAGCATTTTTTCATTGCAATACACACTAAGTAGTCTCTTGTGTTCTTGCCTAAGAAGGTAATTGCCATTTATAATGTTCTTCCCACTTGAAAATACATTGTTAATTCAAACAGCTGACTTGTAATTGAACTTAGGGAATACAGTGTCCCCACTGAGAAAGCCCTAGCTGTATGAGCAGTGAGCTAAGTAAAGATACTTTGAGGTAGTGCTGGTTGCTGGCTGCCTCTAATCCAGCACCTCTTCCCTCTGTGGCCTCTGCCATTCATTCCATTGTGTCACTTGTAAAGGGAGGGTCTCCTTCCTTTGCCTTTATTTCACAGGTAATTTGAATCAGGAAAATACAGTGACTTTCTGAAGAATAAACTGAAGAAGTAAGTAAATTCTAGGCCACTTAGTTTCTCTTTGCTTAATCAACAAATTCAAACTGATTTCTCAATTCAAATGAAACCCATTATCAATACCTAAATACCATTTTAAATAGGTATCCCCATAATGAAATTGTTTCCCAAAGAATCAATGGTAATTGCACCATTTAAAACTCAGAATTGAGACAAGATAATGAATGGAGCCTAGAAATGCTTGTTGAAGCAACCATTCGCGAGATGATGTCTAATTTTCTTAAACAGTAAAACCCAGAAATAAAAGGAAGATCAGCTAGAATAAAAAAAGTCCCACACGATTAACTACTTAGCTTTAATATTCTGGGGAGCTGGAGCAGTGAGCATAGATAAAGATTTGCATTGCTTAAGATTCTTTTATCAAAAGTTGTCCTAAGAGAGAAGAGACAGAGCTGGGAAATTGTGAACAGCAGGATTAACTAAGCCAACTTTTGAAATGTCTTAAGAGAGGTTAATGAGTAGCTACCTGATTCACACTTTGTGTTCTTAGACTTCTAGTCAAATGAAAACAATTTCTGCCGTCGCCAAGTTAAACAATACAATCCAGTAGTTCTTGGAGAGAAATGGGGCACTGATTGCTTTTCTAAAGAACACCTCAGTGTCACACAAAGCAAGTGTGTGTGGTAAAATTATTTCTGAAAGTTTGTTGTAGAAAGCTGGTTCTCATTTTATTTTTCATAGAGCAGAATAAAATGTTCAGGTCTAACAAAATGATGTGCTGGGGAACAATGAATATCTCTAATGAAAATGTGAGATTGTGTTCACTGTCCTTGTTCAAGTGAAGCAAAATAAGTGAAGAAAGATACAACAGATTATTTACTAATATCTGTATATAGGCTAAGAGCCAGTAAAGTTCATGGCTTGGGGAGGAGGTAAATATTTAGAAAGTGAAATTTGATAGCAAAACCAAGACATCAGAGCTACTGGGGAAATAAGCAGACTGTCACCTTTGTGGTGTGAAAGTACTTTGACTTGGAGATTCAGTGATAGAAAGTGAAACTGCTGTTTATCCTCTGTAGTCAAAACTTCTAAGTATGTAGGAAGTGAAGTTAGGCACATTAAATTTCAGGTGTTCTTGAGGAAGTGAAAGCTCAGTATTTTGATAATTTGCTGCTTTTCCCATTGTCTGGAAGGTGTTGGCCGAAATTGAGCCCTAGGCCCTAACTTCCTCTTGTGCTTTGTGTGGTTGAGAACCTTCATCACAGGCAGTAAGAGAGAGACTTCCTTCCTTCTCTGCTTTTTCTTGAGTCATTTCACAGACTCACTATAATTAAAAGGTTTTAACTGTGTGTGCTGGAAGTAAGTAAAAGGATTTTTCCTCTCATTTAAGGTAGATAAATGCCTGAGATGCAGAAAAGTCTTGTATGTCACCTAGGTTTTGGTCTGGAATATTGAATGTCTGGAAGCTTCATTTGTCAAAAGAACTAATTGAAGATATTTCCCCTTTCCTCCACAGGGATCTGACAAACAATCGAATAGGCTGTCTGAATGCAGACATATTTCGAGGACTCACAAACCTGGTTCGGCTGTAAGTAGACCTTTCTTTCCTAGGACAGTATTAGGAAGCATTTGAATCAGGATCCGGAGCTGAACACCTTCGATATATGTTTAATATTAAATATACAACTGTACACATTATAGACAAGGTCAGGAGCAAGGACCTCGAAATGAAGTCATGAAGTGAGGTGCCATGAAGTCTAAAGATAGACTGTGTGTGTGTGTACACCCCAAAGATGTGGTGTGAACCCCAGAGGAAAGGATCCTTTTGAGAGATAGGAGCAAATTTTGTTTAGTGTGGGAAAATTTCACAGAAATGCTAAAGCCCGTGCTGACAATTCCGAAGGTTGCAAAGATTTGGATGGTTAGAAAGGAAACAAGTCTATCAAATGCTGCATGATAGAAGTAAGAACAAAGTCAGTTTGTCAAGGGAGAGGCCAGTGGTATCAGTAGTTAAATGAGCATTGACTCGTGCCTCTGACCTTGTGAATTGCACTTTTCTCAGCTTTTCTGTTTTTCATCTGTAAAGTAGGATTAATAGTACTTCAATGTTATTATAAGGATTAATTAAGATTTGATTACCTCTATCTTTTTATCTCATAATATATGATAATAAAGATGCCTAAGAACTTTGAATAAGCTATCCGATAGATTTTGATTTTGATAATAAAGAGGCTTTCTTTGGGAGTAACTAGGAATGAGTCTAGTTATCTAATAGAGCTTTATAGGGGAGAGAATGAAAAGCAGAGACCCACAATATGACATAAAAGACATTTGTTTGCAAAAAGGGTTTAAAATCATGTTTTAGAAAAAAAAGCAATCTGGGAATCGGATGCAGGATGAAATGGGGGTTTAAGGTAGAGGGCTTTTAGGGTTGAGCTTGGTTATCATTCTCTCAGGCTCTTTAGAATATTTCTTTTATTTCTCTTAAGTTAACTTGGAAAAGCTAACTAAGGCTTTAGTGAGCTAGTTCATCATCTATTAGTAAGGGAAGGGGTTTCAAATCAATTGTTAGGGAAGAACAGAGTAATTCTTTAGTCAGCAAACTTGTATTTTTCAGGGTGTCCTTTTATTTTGTTTTTAAATAAAAGAAAGATGTATAGTTTTACTCATAATTAAAATTCCATCAGTTGCATTGTTTTAATTTCTCCTTGAATTTTGTCTTTTAGTTTTGAGATTTGTATGAAGGTAGGCAAAATGAGGGAGGCATTTATGAAGGAAAATGCATTATCATTTTGGATAACTTATTTGAATACTGAAAAAGCTTTGGGGACCATTGTTTTGTTGATTTTTGTTCAAGAGGGATATATAACTTTGACCCAAGGCTTTGACTCACCAGCAGATGGTATTTAGGATAAATTACAGCTCATGTGTGTAGATTTTGCTTATGATTTCTTATTTTTTCCTTTTGGACTTAAAATGGCACACATTTTCTAATTTTATTTCTGCCTTACTGGGTAAAGTTTTGGGAGTCCCAAAGCTTGAGTCAGCACTCATGTTATTCTCTTGTACCAATTGTGAGAATTTATAGGTCAGGAGCACAATGGACATTTATTCAGGTGAATCAAGCCATAAACATAACACACCCAAACTTTCTACTTTGAGATTTGATTGGGAGCATTTTGTGATTCATGTGGTAGTTGCTTATTGTGATTCTTTTAGATGCAGCGTCATGCTTCATTGTAAGGAGCTGAAAGCTCTCCTTCTAAGATTAGGACCAAGACAGAAACACCCACCTTTATTCAAAATAGTATTGGAAGTCCTAGCCAGAGCAATTAGGTGAGAGGCAAGAGTCTTCCAAGTTGAAATGGAGGAACTCAATCTTGCTATTTGTAGGTGACACGATATTATTGATAGAAAGCCACATCGTCTTCGCCAAAAACAGTGTTAGAATTCATAATCAGATTCAGCACAATTATAATATAAAAAGTCACTGTGCAAAAATCACTTGTGTTTCTCTACACTAACAGTGAGCTATCAGAAAGAGAATTTAAGAAAATGGTAAGATTGATAATTTCACCCAAAAGAATTAAATATGCAGAGAAATGTAATGAAGTTGTTGCCATACCTGTACACTGAAAACAATGTGAACTGGGCGTGGGTGTTCAGTGGTACCCGTGGGGCCAGAGGACTCTGGATCGGTTTGTGGTTTGCCCAGCACCAACTCTGAGACAGCCTAGCGTGTTCACCTCCCACCCTGGCTTGTCTCACCAAGGTACTGTGTGGTGCTGCCGCTCATCTTCCAGGTCCCCCTTTTCCTCTTAAACTTTCAGTTTCGTCAGTGATACTGAGTGAACACATAAAGAGTAATTCTGATGGTAATGAATGAGAACCTGACTCAAGATTTAATTCAGTGATACCTGATATTTGATAGGAAACTCATTATGCAGCAGTAATAATTCTTAAATACTTTTGCTTCTGACTTCCTATAAGGTTAAGAACAAATTTCTTTTTCAGCTTTGGGGAACATATTTATTCTTGATCATTTATAAGATTTAAAGCAACTTTCATGCATTCTGCTAACATGATGTAATGATGATGGGACATGTAAGAGAAATATGAAATGCTGTAAAGTGACACTTAATTGTTGGTTATTGTAAAAGGGAAATCATTTTCTATTTTCCAGAAACCTTTCAGGGAATTTGTTTTCTTCATTATCTCAAGGAACGTTTGATTACCTTGGCTCCTTACGTTCTTTGTAAGTAAGATTTTTTTCCTCCCGTTTCCATAAGTTTATCTTAGCTCTTGTATATTAAATGCATCATCTATATGGTTTGAGAGATTTCATAGTGGAAATCCTATCGTCAATTTTTACAAAATTTAGGATCTCATTGATTCTAATTGCTATCTCAGTGGAAATCCTATCGTCAGCCTCGGTAATATGTCAGACTGGACGTCATATTTATCAGATTTAGTTAGAATAAATGAATATGGAACTTGTTATCTTTGACTTTGTTTTAGAACTGGACTGATAACTACTCTAAGGAGGGAAGGAATGAGTTCTCTGTTAAATATCCCTCCCTATGAACAAGCTGCAGTTGAGACTATTTTCGTGCTTTTAAATTTTATCCTGTAATCTTTTGCCCAAGGGCTTTCACAATTTTTACTGATGTTTCTAGGAATGTTTAGGTAGACTGCCCACTTCTTGAAGTCATTGTACAATCATTTATGGCATTCTCTGTAGATCTAGAATTGGCAGATTTTTTTACCTCAAAATTCTTCCGAGGATATTTAGTGAGAAACTATGCAGGAGTTCTTTTTGAAAATAAAAGGGAAGTAAATTTATTTCCCCCAAATAAACCTGCCTGTGTTGTAAACTGCAAGTCATACTTTTTTTCTACTGGAATTAGCTAAATGTAAAGTTTTTCATATTTTATTGGGTATAAATATATGGGATTGAGTATTTTTTTTCCAGGGGAAAATTGTTTTCTCAACTAGATGCCTTTGTGTGTGTGTGTGTAGGGACCTCTTTCTTCTTGAGCCCCCTTCATCTTCTTCCTTGCTCTACACCTGCCATGTGGTAGCTTTCACTGGGATGCAGCTGGCAAGCTGAGCGCCTCTAGCTCCTTACCACCCTGAGTCCCTCCCTGCCTCGCAAGTCACCCCGGTCTCTCTTGCTGGTCTCTCTCAGATGCCGCCACTACGCCTATCAGTCTGCTCTTTCTGAAAACATCTCCTTTTGGTGTATTAGTGAACTCAGTCAGCCTTTGCTGTGAAGAGTAGACAGTGAAACAAGGGAGTTGAGGAAGGTGGGAAGTACGTTATCTAAAAATCAGGAAATACTGCCTGGTTGTGCTAGAAAGTGACCAGAGTTGGTGTGTAGAAATTTGAAGTTAGCCCATTGCTCTGCCAGTGCAGTTTTCAAATTTTACTTTCTCTTTGTTGTATCTCAGTCATCTCCCCGCCCCCTCCCTTTCCATTGACCCCCCCAAAGTTGAAGAGATGAAGTGGGCACCAGCATACCCTCAGTAAGCACAGGCGCTCATGTTTGCTCTTGTGCTTTGTTGGTTAATTTGAATAGGACACTTTGCATCCCATTTTGGTGATATTTGCAGTTGGTCCTTCCTGTTACATAATATCCCCCTGGTTGGTAGGGAACAGTATTGTGGTTGTTTTGATGAACTAGACTGAAGCCTAATGTGGTGCTTGAATAGCAGTGTGGCTTAAAAGGATCTGTGCCTCTATCCAGGCTATGTATGTTCGCTCTTTGTTTTCTGTATCCAATTGTGAAATGATAAAACTTCGACTCTCAAATAGAGTTAAATTTTAATTTTCTTTTGTACCAAGCATGTGGCATTCTTTCTTGTGTACCACTGATTGGTTGAGTCTGTATCCTCTAAGTCTGCACATACCTGGCATGTAGCAGGAAAGCTCAGAGAGTCCCTGGTCAGACTGTGTGCATCCCTGGGAACTGCACATGTTGCCAGAACTAACCGAGTTTGCAGGCACTTGGGCCAGTTCCTGGCAGTGCTGCTGGAAATGCTCGGGAAGGCTTCAAGATCCAGTATTATTAGTTCCACATGCTTGATGATGAATGGGGAGAAGTCTGAGAGACAAAAAGGTTGGGATTTGATTTTCCAGGACCCTGAGTATATGGTGCTCATTGCCTGGAAGAGGGATGATAAATAGAGTTTGTTCACATGTGAATTCGGATCAAAAGCGGAGTCTGCCCTAGGACCAGTGCTGAGTCAGACACAGCACATCATGTCGTTGGAAAGGAGACCATGGCCAGTGATGGAACGTTCCAGAAGAGCGGGGATGCTACCCACATCATCAGCCAGTCATAGAGGAGAAGTGCCATTTAATTTTAATTACATTTTGTATGCTACAGAGAATTTCAGACGGAGTACCTTTTGTGCGATTGTAACATATTGTGGATGCATCGCTGGGTAAAGGAGCGGAACATCACTGTGCGAGACACAAGATGTGTTTATCCGAAATCCCTGCAGGCCCAGCCCGTGACAGGTGTGAAGCAGGAGCTGCTGACCTGCGGTAAGTCTGAAGGAGAAGCTTTGTATTTCCTGCACTTGAACTTGTTATTGTTACCGTACTTTTCTTGACAATTTATAAATTTCTCTTTACACTTGGAAATAACCAACCCACAACCATCCATCTTCATAGACTTGGTAACCTTTAATATAAGCCTACAATTAAGTCAGCTTGTTTCATTATTTATTATTATTATTATTATTGGTATTTTAAGGTCCTTAGGTTCTGAATGTTTATAAAAACCACTATTAGAAGAATATTTAAGGTCTTTGATTTTTAGCTACTTAGTTAATGGAATAGACCTTTAGATTTTCAGTCATTTGGAGAGTGGTAATGTCTGTAAAAGAGTAAACTCTGAGGACACAGTTAGGCTGCTTGCTGGTGGACTTGTGAGTTGATACTGCTTTTTGGCAGTATAGTTTTCCAGTATGTAGCAGTTTTCTTGAGAGTTGATCCAGTAGATTTATAAGTAGGGCTTAATTCTAGGGGAATGATCACTGCATATGTAAGTCTTCAGACTTTGTGTATATATGCATATCCTCAATTCTCAAAAGGAGAACATTGGTTTAATTATTTTAATACACCATTCAGTCAGTGGTGTGCAGCTATTAAAAATCAGACTTTGAAAAATATCTGAAGACTGGAAGAAAATACACATTTTTATTTGTTAAATGTAAATATAAACCAAACCACATAAACCAAAATTGTCCTTCAAACAGAGGGAGATTCTATCTTGGTGTTTGTGCTTGGGGGAAAAAATAATCCTATCAGTATTGTTCCTTTTTCTTATTATTGTTATTGCTTTCTTGTAAGTAAAATATGCGCTCTGGATTAAAGTTAAGATTTATGGAAAGCAAAAATTTATGTTTATCAAATCACACTTTCAATATTTTGCAGTTTTTCAGTTACATTTTAACACAGCTTAAAAAGGTGAAAGCTAAAAGAAGCAAACAAAACAGTGCCTATATTTACACTTTTATCACTTACAGGTACATAAGTGTCGTGACACCTTGGTTATAACATCTTTGCCTTATTTCTTTGTTTTCATAAAGTATCATAACTTTATGAAAGTATTTTAAAACTTAAAAGTTTTATCATGTACAGTAGTCCACATATACCTGTATACTCTGTGTGTGTAACTTTGCCTTCACAACTTCCTTATCATGGCATATTTAGGTTGTTAATAATTTCTCATGTCATAATGCAAGGTTTAATTTCCTTGTATGTATCTTTGCATATTTGTTATTATTCTTCAGAGCAGACTACTAATAAAAGTAGAATTGCTATGTTAGATAAATGAAATAAATATTTTGGAGGCTTTGAATGATGTTTGTTTGCACTTTGGCATGTATACTTACAATATCCTTTTTTCTGAATGGATGGAAACATTATACCTTTGTAAACATTATACAAAGGCAAAGGATCATACCTTTCCGTCTTCTGTTCAATGGGCCAAATTTTTTGCAGTAAATAGGAACACCCGTTTACTTTTAAAAAGTAGTCAGGGTTTAATCAAAGGTAATATAGTCTCAAAATATGCTTTAAATTTGCATTTTCTTATTCTCTAGATTGAAGTATCATTTTATAACTTGATCTTTAAGTACTGATTCTGTGATCATCTGACAGTCTTATCTACCACCAGGAAAGAACAACTCTGAATGTCAGAGCTGATTATGAAATGGTTTCACTTTAATTTAACTTACATTTGTTTTTATTCAGACCCATTTAACACCGTTGCAGCTGTAGACACTAGCATTAAGATGCAGGTAACTGAGCAGTGTTTGGACTGTGAATATAGAACTATATTCTGTGTATGTTTACTGAGGCTTTGTTTTGCTGCCTGTAGATCCTCCCCTTGAATTGCCATCTTTCTACATGACTCCATCTCATCGTCAAGTTGTGTTTGAGGGAGACAGCCTTCCCTTCCAGTGCATGGCTTCATATATTGACCAGGATATGCAAGTGTTATGGTATCAGGATGGGCGAATAGTTGAAACTGATGAATCGCAAGGTATCTTTGTTGAAAAGAACATGATTCACAACTGCTCGCTGATTGCAAGGTAATCTTTCTTAGATGAGGGATTATCGCTGTGGCCTTTATTTACTGTTTCAGAATTGTAATGTACTGTTTCATTTGGAATTTGAATTAATATTTCATCTTCTTGTATTTAAAAATGCAGACATCTGGCATTTCTTTTTCTAATCCTTACTCATCTTCTAAAATTAAGTAGCTATCTTTTCCAACCCATTTGGAAGGAATGCGTATAGGACAAAAAGACTTTTTGTTGAAAGTTTTTAGATAAAACAATGTAAACTTTTTAGTGCCAATTATTGCTAACCATTCCCTGCTGCTGTGCTCAGGCTTTTACTTTTAAGAATCTCCTAATATTCACTGTTGTATGACTTAAGCTTCCATTTAAAATATTTGCTTTCTCTACCCCAGCAATATAAAAGAAATTCCTAGTAACCCCATGATTGGTGTAAGCAGCAAAATACTTAATACAAATGAACTTTGTTACATGTAAAAACACAGGTTAAAATTACATATCATATTATCACTCACCTGATAGTCTTGTGCCCTACAATGCTGTTTATTCTGGCAGTGGTGGATGGTATATACTTCTGTAGTGCCCAAATTCCTATTGCCTAGTGGGTCATAGCTGTAGCAAAGTCAGCATTTTATGTCAACAGCAACCTCATACATACTGTTTTATGGTACCTCTTGATACCATCATTTCACCTTGTGTTTGATTTAATCTTGTGTTGTTTCAGCATATCCTGAGTGTACAAAAATCTACTGCAGATCTTTTTCTTTAGAATATGGTTTATATTTTTCTGTTTTTTTTTTTTTTTTTTTTTTAAATACTGTTTATATGTTTAGTAATGTTGGAACCTACCCTGGACATTGTGAATTTTTCACAGAGGAGAATCCAACAAAGGAAAGCCTGAGATCCAAGGCTGGCCTGCTCTGAGCTAAAAATATTTTTTACTAAGTGAATGGTTTCATTTCAAATGTTTGAGAAGTCTCTATATAATATCTTTGATGTTGCTTCTTGCCCAGGAAAGTCTAAAATATATCCTGCTGGCCTTGGAGGACAAAGATTGCTGTTGACTCCTAACTATGGGTTCTGTTACATTCTCCTAAAGAGAGCTGAGTTCCTTAAGCGGTTAGCTTGGCTAACTCTTGCTTTTGTCTTTGTCGAAGGCAACAGCTGGATGACATGTGCTCTCTCTTATCTGTACCGAGGACAGGGTCAGTTAGAGATCTGGGTGGATGCTGTATGTGGAATTTTGGGATTCTTGCCAGGCTCCTTGCCACGTCTGTACTGTCATTTTTCAACCAGTGTGATAACGAGTTTCTGTTAGAGCAGGGTGTGTCTTTTGGTAAGAGCTATAAAAAAATTTCCTTATTACACTCCATAGTTGATAATGTTCCTAGTATCAACTTATCTTTCATTTCTGCCTCTTTGGATCACTTTCAGTCTGTTCATATGTGTTATTTTCTATGAGGGTGGTTTGATTGGAACTACCCAGCTATTTCCAGAATTGGAGTTACATTGTTAGGGGATACAGTAAGGCTGCTATAGTTGTTATGTTATTTTTATTGTATTAATAATTTCACAAGTGTTTACATTTGCCAGAACTCATCCACTCACTTATACACTTTAAGCAGTTTCTTGTAAAACTGACAATAATTGACATATAATTCAACAATAGTGCTTCAAAAACATACTGAAACCCTTTCCTGAATAAAAGAGTTTAATTTAAACTCTTAATTTTGTGGCTGTAAAATAGCTAGATTAAGATACAATGTACAGAAATAAATTTTTTAAATTAATCTAAATTCATTATAGCCACACAAAAAGTTAATTCCTAGGATAGCAACTTTACCGAACATTTTTGTTTTAGGGACCCTTGGCTAGAGTGATTATCTTGCTTATGAAGACAGAGAAGTTCTTTATGTACAGCTGGCCTCAGAATAATAAAGGGGTTAGGAAAAGAACATATTTGGTTATTGAGTTGACTAGCCCTAGGTACTTGCTGATTTGCCTCTCATATCATTGATCCTTCATTTGTAAGAATCAAGAGTTAGTAGATTTTGTAGAAATGAAATTGGTGCCACCTTTCCCTCTTTACATTTCCAAATATGCTTCGTTGAGGATTCTTGGAAAAGTTACACAAATAATTGGTTTTCAATGTTGAAGGCATTGCTAGAAAATTAAAATTTTTTGCAGTCTTAGGACTGTAATTTTCTAAAGGGTATATTCAGCATCCTAGGGCATCACAGTCAGTTTGTAGAGATGCTCTGGGCTACTTTTAGTTCTTGAGGGAGCTTATTGCTACTTGGGATTTATCAGAAGCCACATAGCTACCAGCTCCAGGTGGACGCGAGCTCATGCTGCTTTCCTTTGTTGGTGACATGGGGTTGCAGAGTTCCGGCAATTACTTACGGTTGCAAAGCAAGTACTATGTGAAAATCATTGTGAACAAGAAATAAAGTTATCATTCTCTAATCTGAATTGATGTTTGATTAATTTTGGAGTGAACAAGAGTTACACACAGTCCACTAGGAGGTAGTTGTGCTGTGGCTTAAAAATGAAATGAAAATATTAATTTTTTTTTCAAATAAGTACTAAGTTATTAGGACTCACATATACAGCATTGAGTTTTAATTCAATATTTATAATTACTGTGGGATTTTGTTTTGTGTTGCCTTTTTGTATGTGTGTGTGTGAGGCTCTATAGGGGCTCTGGAAAAGGGAATCTAGTTAGTGATGATATTGTGATCCAAGAAAGTGGGCAAACCTCGGGGTTATAGAGTGATATTAATACACTTCTTCCTAGCTCAGTAGTGCTGTCTCTAGTAGAATGTCTGAAAAACATTCTGGTTACTTCAATTGAATGGCAGACTCTTTGTGTCACTTAAACTTGAATATCTTTGTTACCAGGGTAGTGGCTTATTTACTAAGTTGGTCAGTGAAGATGATAAACCTTTTCTTTGATGGTTTAGAATAACACTGCCTCAAAGACTTTATTATGACACTGCTTGTGTAGCCATTAATGATGTAGGAGACTGAAAAAATGTGTATTAACTTCAAGACATAATTTCGTAAGTTAATTAAAATGATGCATGCTTTGCTAATTATTTTTTTATCATTTGTATCTACATCACCGCAAAGCATAGTGAGTCATGTGGGAGGGTGATAAAGGTTTCTTTGAAAGTTCTGATATTTGCTCTTTTATTAATAGGATTTACATTTGAGAATTGTGATTTCATCTTGAAAATTGAATGTAATAGTAGTTATTTGGAAATATACCTTTTATAAGTCGAAGTACACCATTAAATGGAAAACTTTTTGCTAAAGTGTTAAGTGAATGAAGTCTTTCTAGAGACTTAATGGGTTGTTTATGGTATAACCCTTTTTCCCATAAAATATTTTACTTCAAATATTTTAACTATACCTTTGGTAATATATTCTCCTTTGATCATGCTTGTTACATTCCTTAGCATCTATAGGAAGGTAGCTATACTTTGGAATGTCCCTGTTAGTTTTGTTGAAGAGAGTGCCACGATGTGTCTGTCTTGGCTTGCCATCCACACCCCTGCTCTCTCTTATCCCAGGAGAAGTTTCCAGTGTCAGGTACCACCAGAATGTATTCATATTTTTGTTTCAACTCTGACATTAACATGTGAAGTATCCCTTTACCTGTTTATCCTGACTTGCTATGGACATTTTTTTTTTTTTTAAGATTTATTTACTTAAAAAAAGGGCCCTCCCTGGTGGCGCAGCGGGTTAAAGCACTGCACTAAGAAGCTTAAGCCACTTCCTCATGAGTTCAATCCCTGCCTGCCCCGGAGGAGATCCACATGGCGTGGCAGACCTCTCCTGACCCGCCCGCTGCTCCCCTCAGCAGTGTACTTCTTCGATCTGCCTGTTCTGCTCCCCACTCTATCTCTGGTGAATCCCCTCACCTTCTGAATCTCTGGCCTGTACCCCAGTTCTGTATGAATAAGTAAATAAATCTTAAAAAAAAAGATTTATTAATTTATGCATACATAACTGGGGTACAGGCCAGAGGTGTGGTGGGTGAGAAGATTCACCAGAGACGGAGTGGGGAGCAGAACAAGAGGACTGGCTGAAATACTGCTGAGGGGATCAGTGGGTGGGTCAGGAGAGGTCTGCCATACCGTGTGGGTCATCCCCCTGGAGGGGGATTGAATTCGTGCTGCAGGGCCTGTGGAGAGCTCATAGTGCTTTGGCTGTGGATAGCTTCATAGCGCTGCATTTTAAGCTGTTGCACCACCAGGGAGGACCCGCTATGGACATTCTTAAATGTGATCTTTGTATAAGTCCATTTTTATTTAAAAGTGCCATATGCATTCAGATGCATTTGCTAAATAAATGATAGAAGCCTATTGTCCCCTGTTACCTAACCATATTTTCTCTCTTTTCTAAAATCTTTCTTCATGCAGTGCCCTAACCATTTCTAATATTCAGGCTGGATCAACCGGAAATTGGGGCTGTCACGTCCAGACCAAACGTGGGAACAATACGAGGACTGTCGACATCGTGGTCCTAGAAAGTTCAGCCCAGTATTGTCCTCCCGAGAGAGTGGTGAACAATAAAGGGGATTTCAGGTCAGTGACATGGAAAGTGCCAGAAATGCTGGATTTCCTCCAAATCTTACTGAATTCTCAAAGGCATATAAGTGGTCTCGTCCATAAAACGTATGTGTCAACACATATGTCTCCTTATGTCTCTGTCCACAGACTGCTCTTTAGAGCAGTAATTTCAGAATTATTAATGGAGATTAAAAAAAACTCATGTCTGGATTTTATCTCAGATCTGCTGATTTCAGAGTTGGTGAAGGTAGAGCTTAGAACATTTGTATTTTGCAAATGGTTTTGTGGTAAAAGTTAAGAACCATGGCTTAACGAAACAGTTCGGAAATTCCACTGAGATAATGAATGCAGAATTCAGACAGGTTAATGCTACCTGTTCTTCAAAGGACTCTTGTGTGGATGAGTTTGGAAGGCTTTGTATTGCTAAGTGACTGTTCCTTATTGGCAGTTAAGTGGGCATTATAATAGGGAGAAGCACAGGTGAATTTTCTTCCCTTGTTTGTTGCTTCTGGCAATCATGCAAGAAGAACTTTGGGAAATGAAAGCTGTTGGGTCACGTGAAACTTGGGGGGACCATTGCTGGTGGACTTGGTGTAAGACAAGTGGAATGAGTTAAATTTTATACTTTTTTCATTTTTTTAGTAGACAATTTAGAATTGGGAGCGGTCACAACTTTTACCATATGACACTTACTTGCAAAGTTGCTTTAAAACTTTTAAAATATTTTATTTACTTCATGTCCTTGACTTCAGGACTTGACTAGTGAATTTACAGCTGATACAAATAAAAGAAGTTATATTACTTTTTAATGGAGAGTAAAGATTTTGAGTGTGCAGGTTGTAACTGTGCTTGGTGCCATTGCTGCTTTCTGACAGTCAGGCCCTTTAGTCCACTTTTTAAGGACAAGATAGGCCTTTGGCGTTCATCCCTCAAGTCCATGATGAATCACCTCGTCAGTCATTGATTTTCTTATTAAAAATGATGAATTTTTTTCTTATTTTAAATCTTCTTGACACACATCTATGGAAATTAGCGTTTACTATTGCCAGTTTCAAAAAAAAAAAAACCTTTATATGTGTTAACTGTTCATCTATAATACAATGTATATTTTAAAGTTAAGTAGCTGACATTTGTTAATTTAGTTGTGGTCAACATTTTTCATTAAGTAATTCCAATATGCTACTTTCTGTTTATGGTCAAGTTTCCATTTTTATTTACAGTTTTTTTTTTAAAAACATAGTATGAATGGAAGAAGAGTCTAAATAATCAATAAATGAATTATTTATCTTTTGACACCCCTTAAGATACTGTACGATTAAATTTCCACTGCATTAATAAGTTTTAGTCTAGTGTTGCTTGGTCTCTTCATGCCATTTGTGGTGATGAGTTCTATTTTGGTGTGACTGATAATATCATTTAGCAGGTGCTATGTTATGGTTCAGCTGAAACTTATGTTCAGTTTTGGAAAACAGGCTTCATGTAACAGATTTCTCCCAACTTAGTGATGACCCAAGCCAACAGGTTTGTGTACGCCCTTACAAAATGGGGGAATTTTTTTTTTATTATTTAAAGATTTATTTATTTATTTGTGCATACAGAACTGGGGTACAGGCCAGAGGCTCAGGGGCGGTGAGAGGCTTCACCAGAGACAGAGTGGGGAGCAGAACAGGCAGATCGACGAAGTACACTGCTGAGGGAAGCAGCAGGCGGGTCAGGAGCGGTCTGCTGCGCCATGTGGTCACCTCCGGGACAGGTGGCAGGCGGGAATCGAACTCATGCGGGAGCAGCTTCAGATTCTCAGTGCTGTGCTTTAACCCGCTGCGCCACCAGGGAGGGCCAAAATTGGTGGATTTTTACAGGTAAATTTGTCATCTACTTTGTTAGAGGCTTTTGAGATTACCCCTTAGTGCATAAATGTTCTGGAAGGACTCATAGGACTCGGTGCACAGCTGTAGTCTCAGCTAAGGCACATGGCAGTGATATAGAAAATCACCTCACTGGATCTGAGTAAGAAAGCCAGCTGGCGTGCTGAGGGACCCCTCTGCAGATTCCGGACACCTCCTTCCCCGCTGAGGATGGCACAGCAGGCTCCTCTTGCAGCCATGGAAGGGCCACAACCCGTGGCATTTCTGCCCAACTAGGCCCAGTGGTGATTCAACACCCAGCATCCTTCATGGGGATGGTCAGGCAGGCACCCTCTGCCTAGCAGAATCCCAGACTCCAAGGAAGAAAGCAGATGTGAAGCATACGCCAGATTGCTTATCCAAGTAGTCTCAGTAGAGCACTTCGTGGGGCATGATCCCAGCCCCAAATTCCTAGTTGCTTTGGAAGAGCCCGTGTTGCCGGCAGGTCCTGTGAGAACAGCCCTCTCTGAACCACCGTGGGAGCCCCGTCCTGCTCTTGTACCAACTCTGCCTCTGTGACAGCCAAATTCTATTTATTTTGGACTAGATTAGGGCTTTCTATATCTACCGGTTATATAATCCTATAATATATCACGATAAAGAAACAAAGCCATTTGTTAACACCACTTTTATATTAGCTAAGAAACAATTTCCCTGTCTACCTGTTGTAACACTTGAACATATGAGGAAAATTCTTTATTCTGTTGTGGTATTAAAAAACAGACACTGGGTCCTCCCTGTGGCGCAGCGGGTTAAAGCGCAGCACTAAGAAGCTGAGCCACTTCCGCATGAGTTCGATCCCCGCCTGCCCCAGAGGAGATCCACATGGCGCGGCAGACCTCTCCTGACCTGACGCTGCTCCCCTCAGCAATGTACTTCATTGATCTGCTCCCCACTCTGTCCCTGGTGAATCCTCTCACCCTCCGCATCTCTGGCCTGTACCTCAGTTCTGTATGAATATATAAACAAATCTTTAAAAAAAAAAATCAGACACTTGGCTTATCGATGCAGACATTTCAGTCCCTGTTATTTTTTTAAAATCATGTAAGCTGGTCTTTATGTTGAAAGGAGGTTTGCTTGTTGCTTCCTGCGCTTTCTCTGTGATTACACGAAGCTGTGTCCTAGTCCTCGGTTTTTCCTGCGTTCTCACTTGTGCCTGCGCTGCCTTCTCAGCATGCTCATCTCTCTCTCCGCAGATGGCCCAGGACGCTGGCAGGCATCACTGCTTATTTGCAGTGCGCTCGGAACTCCCACGGCACCGGGATCTACCCGGGAAATGCACAGGACGAGAGAAAAGCCTGGCGCAGGTGTGATCGAGGCGGCTTGTGGGCCGACGACGACTATTCTCGCTGCCAGTACGCAAACGACGTCACTAGAGTTCTTTACATGTTTAATCAGGTAACCAGGAAGTCTTCAGATTGGCTGAGGTCATGCATGCAACATGGAGCTCAAACCAAGCACATCGATTTTTTTGTTTTTTATAAAATAATAGTTTATTTTTATATCATTTTGTACATTTTTTTTCCCATCTCCATTGTAATCCCCACAGGTTTCCCATCACCGAGTCACCCATGTGCCATCACCATATTCCCGTGCACTTCCCTCCCCTACTCCCCCCCCCACCCCGTTTTTGATCCCATTCCTCACTCCACCCCCACAAAATGTCTCTGGTATATGGCGGTTCATTATTCTTATTATTTTCTCACCTGGTCCATTATACTCCTGCTATGAGCGAAACCATCC